CTTCACAAAAAATTCGCATAAACTTGAACAAACACGCCCCTATCTCACAAGCAACCCAAGGGGAATTTTCATTTGTTTAAAATAGAGTTCCAAAACATGTGCTTTTCATGAAATTCATACAGTCTAGTCATATTATTATATAACACTCGAATCAGTGAGATTTTCGGGTTTAAAATCATTATTGTGGGTCTACCTTGGGTAAAAAATTGACACGGTTCATCTTTTTCCCTCGACATTCCACGTTTTTATCTCGCGACTGACACTTTCCCTAATTCCCAGCTTAAATAGCGACACGTGACATGCAACTTACTGACTCTGTTATAATCTGATACGTGACATTTACTGGTCAAGTTTTGGGTGATATTTGAGTGAAAAAACACGGAGGTTCATCAATATTATTAATGATCTATAAACACTGCTTTTTAAATTAATATTTCATTTATGAAATGATACTAAGTAAACGTTGAGTAGGTATACAAAAAATAGTTCCCTCACCCATGCATCAAGAACTGATATATTCATGAACATAATGAGAACATAAAATGAGGTCCCCGGGACAGCAGGATTGCTGACTAATTTAAAATAAAAAACGCATCTATCACATCCGCTCAGGCCCATTTAAATTAAGGGTCCCTGGGCAAACGCTCCCTTTGCGCCCCCTGTCAGCTGGATTGGGCATATTTTTCTAGTTCACACTAAAAAGTCGTTTTTCATGATAAATGGTGATGGTATAAGTAGTATCTAAACCATTACTATGTCTGTCATGCCTGATGACTGCTGGTATTGTGCGAAAGGCCTCTTTGGCATTGGGTGTGGCAGATGTAATGTGATTGAAATATTATAACATACATTTTCACTCATAAAATCTTCAAATTCGATATAAACTTAAATAAAACTTGCCACATACCTGAGTACAAATTTAAATGTACGAAGTGATTTTTTTTCACTTGCATCTTTGCTTTTTTCTCTTTTTTTTAACAAATTGTTGACTTTGAATCTAGAATAATATTTGGTTTTCCTGCCTTGAAAAGTGACATGTGATGTTGAATACTTTCTTATGTGGTGGCATCTAACAGTTATTCTGCATAAATTTTCACACTGGACATTCTAAATATCTTAAATACTGACGTACGACGTAATTTTCGTGACCCGCAATACAGCAGTTAAACTCTTTGTGGTCTATTTATTTGTTGTTAAGCACAAAGCTATCCAAATGAGTTATCTGTATCGAAGCCACCGCGGGTATCAAAACCCAATTTTTAGCGTTATAAGCTCTTGAGTTACCGCTAAGCCACCGGCGGATGGTGGCTAAAGAAATTACTGTAATCAGCTCTTATAGTTGTTTAAGTGCAAACCTACACAATTGACTATCTGCGCTCTGACAAGCGCGGGAAATCCAACCCCAGGTTTTAGCGTTGTAAGTCCACAAATGTATCGCTGATTCCACAAGGGGACGAGTGTCGGGGCTTTCCACTTAAGTGAGACTTAATCTAACGCAAGATAACGTGTTATTGTAAAAAAATGTTTTAATTTCCATTGTTGATTATAAAACATTGAATGTTCATATATCACTATCGAGGGCCGTCAAAATGGGGGTCCCATTTTTCTAATGAGGGCCTCCTTGATTTTGAAATTTTATGAATAGATGAAAAACCATCCAACTCTATCTAGTCAAAATCACCCCATCAACAACAAATATTATTTACTAGAAATTACATAATATGACTGATGAATGAGACCCCTCCACAATGAAATTCGAAATATAA